ATATATATAAAGACAAATTTTTTAATCCAAAATAGATACGTAATCTTTTTTAACTCACACTAATGTCCAAACCGATTAACCAAATCAAACCGACCCAAACCAATTTTGTTTGGTTTGGTTTGATTCGGTTTCAATGATTAGATTGAGTCGGTTTGTATTGAAATTTATCCAAACCGATTAAGTCGGTTTTAGTTATAGGTTGGACTCAAAATCAAACCAACCCGAACCATGCTAGGCCTATGAATTAATATGCTAAAATTTGAATGTAAAAAAATACTCTCCTCTCTTTTTTTTAGAAAGCCTCACACAATTTTATTTGTATTCTTTTCTGTAGATTTATAAAATTAATATTTTTATCTGTTATGGAGATATATATGAACAGTTAAGGATGTCTATTTGATGATGATATGTCATGTATCTTTTTAATAATGTATATATGTCTATGGAGACAAATATATAAACTAATATATTTATTTTATGTAAAGACAAATCCCATCTTATATAAAATGAATTTCAATATATTAAAATATATGATATTTTATGAAAAGATAAATCCCATCTTATAGAAAACGAATTTCAATATATTACAATATATGTAAACATGCATCAACTTATTAATAAAAAAAGCTCTTTTTTTTTTTCATATATATATATATTTAAAACAAATATAGGCAACATGTGTACATTTTACGTATTAAACATTTAGATTGAGATATTCAATAATTCATATAAAGACAACTTTCAACACTTATACTTCGTTATATATATATATATATGCAACATGTGTACATTTTACGTATTAAACATTTAGATTGAGATATTCAATAATTCATATAAAGACAACTTTCAACATTTATACTTCGTTCGTAATATATTTATCATGAATGTCTGTTAAGCTTTCTAACATATTTAAATAACTCAAAATGGATGTGTTAAACTTGAACTATTGAATCAAATAAATTTAGAATTAAATATTAAATTAATCTTATCTTAAATAAAACAATAACTCACGTCACTTACAATAAATTATAAAACTTAACATAGACAATTCCCAATTTTTGGCAGTATAAATTGTTGACTTTTGAAACCACCTAATTTCCTCTATCGTTAAACTTATTCATTGGGCTTGACAAAAGCCCATTTAACACCCACCCCCAAAAAGACTAAACCTATCGTCTTCTCAAACGAGGAACCTATCGTCTTCTTCCTCCATTATCTTCCCCTTTCTGCAAAATTTTGCTTCCATGCTCCGGTTCTCCATAAATTTCTACAAAATACTACCACAAGACTTAAAATAAATGGGTTTGCTACCTCCACAAACACAAGCCAAAAGCAATAATCCACGCCGTCCACTGTCTTCTCCTTTTGTTGTCGTGTCCGAGTGCAAGATCAAGTATCCGACTCATATCCCGTGTCAGTATCTGTGTCGTGTCGTGTCGACAAGAATACTTTCTTTTTTTTTAAGAGTCTGAACAACATAGGTGGTGACGATGACAAAGGAGAATATGATGGTGAGATGATGTTCGCCATGGTGCAAGGGGGAGGGGGTGGTAGGTAGCAGGAAGTTTGGGAACGTGGAGTTAGGATTAAAGGAATTTTTGAAAATAAGTACTTAGAAATTAAAAACAATATTTTGAGAACTAAAAGAAAAAGAAAATCATTATTGCAATTTTTCTTGATAAAATGTAGTGGGATGTCCGCATAAATAGTACTACCCATCTTCAAGATGGTAGACCCAAAGCCCATAACTCCAATTATCTCGACGAGCAATTGGTTTCTCCCGTTTCAAAAACCGAAGAAGAGATCCGGTTGCTGTGAGTTGAGCTCTAATTCTTATCCTAGCAACAGTAATAAAAGAAAGGAAATCTATTCTCGTCCACCCACATAGGTTTCCCAAGATTTATAAAAGTGGTTCATTGGCTAATGGAGACAGTCGTAAAGTTGATGAAAGGAAGAGGATATGCCTATGTTCACCGACACGCCACCCAGGAAGCATCGAGCCGTAGGCTCCATTACGGATAACATGAATGGGTTAGTAAGCCAGGATCCAAGCGCAGTAAATACATTACAAGGAGGAGACCATTCATTCTATTCTTTAATGCTCTCGTACAAAATCACAAATAAGGACCAATAAGTATCATTTGTATTGCAATTCTCGCCCCACAACCACAATAGTGAAGTTCCATATGAAGCAGCAATACAGGACTAGACCAGAATCAACATACTAACTATTTTTCACAGCTATTAATCGACTTAGTTTCTCTCAACAAAGAATATACACGTGATACACAATAGTATGTTACCATCGGAACATCATGAGCTGTGTATCATAGGACAGACACCTACCAAAGTCTAACGAAATGTAAATGATGTCTTTCCATTTCCTGCAGGAATCCGTAACAAATGCACACTCCTAGCTCTCTTCAAAAATCTGTGTGCATTATCAAATAATCCATTACTGTCAGAAATAAGAATTGCCTATGTTATTCAAGTTTCCTAATATAACAGAATGCTCACAAGAACGTCACTTTACTGGTCATATGTGTCAACACTACATCACCCACAACCAACCCGAGATGGAGAAGGGGAAGGGAAGAGTAGGGTTGGAAAGGGGAAGTCTTAAAGTATTGATGGTTTTTATGTGGTGCACTGGGGAAAATTAACAACTGCATGCCATTAAGAGCGTGTTCGGTAGAGATTAAAATCGGATTAAAATTAAAAAACTAGCGATTATTGGTGACTTTTATTAGACGAGTGGGACTCAATAACGACTATATTTTCAATTTTAATTGGTCAAACATGCTCTAACTGTATAAACTGTAATTGAAAGTAACAGAGATAATTGCTCCTCCCATTATATGCATGCAAGAAATGATTGAGCAAAATGCAGGTGAAACCAGTTAAGAATGGGAACTTTACCTCTGGGTAGCAACTTTGTCGGGCAATTTTTTGGTTGCGTGTATTTACAATGACTTCGCATGATATTTGTGTCTGCAGAAGATCACAACAGAATTACGAGGAATTGATAAATTTGATATTTGAACTGCATACAGCTTATTGATCTTCCTATTCTACATGGTCGATAAGAAATCCATATGTACATAAAAGAATATAATTTAAGGGGCTTTAGTAAAATATTCGAACCAAAAAATCAGAAAAGAAGAAATATGAAAGAAAGCAAAAATTTAATCATCTCATATCTGAAGACATAAAAAGGAGAATTCGCTAACTTGACACCAGAACAGGCAGAATGTCGTCTTAAATAGTATGGGTTGTTCAGATTTTTCACATAATTTGAACATCTTGAAGACCTAACTGATTTATCATATTAGCATGCATTTAGACAGTAAAATCGACTAAGTTTGTTCAAGTTCCTAATTAAAATAATGAAAAAAAAACTATAGCAACTGTGGGCATCGGATCTTGTACTCAGTATTGACAGAAAAACAATTATAAATAAAAGAAGCTATGAATTTCAAGGTTGGTCATACAAATTATATTCTTTTGTCAAGTTCATTTTAAACAACTCTTCTTGAAAGTTGATCCTGCCTTTTTTATCACATACTGGCAAAGCGTTTAGGTCTTTTAGATTTCAAAATTACAAACTTGATTTCATTTCCGTTAAAAGAGCACATAATGATTTATTTTTTATGATGGACTTGTATATTTGTGTGTGCTTACAATACAGTCAACTTCTTATCAATAATTTTAGTGCTCATTTGGGTTTCATCATAATGAGATTATAATGAAGAGGAGTAATGGATCACACTAAGCCCCCGTTTGGCACCCATTTTTTTCTCATTCTCATTCTCATTCTCATTCTCATTTTTTTTCTCTTTCTTCATTTCAACCACACATTATATCAATAATATAATATTACACATAACCTAATTAAAATAATGAAAAAAAAAAACTAGCAACTGTGGGCATCGGATCTTGTACTCAGTATTGACAGAAATACAATTATAAATAAAAGAAGCTATGAATTTCAAGGTTGGTCATACAAATTATATTCTTTTGTCAAGTTCATTTTAAACAACTCTTCTTGAAAGTTGATCCTGCCTGTTTTATCACATACTGGCAAAACGTTTCGGTCTTTTAGATTTCAAAATTACAAACTTGATTTCATTTCCCTTAAAAGAGCACATAATGATTTATTTTTTACGATGGACTTGTATATTTGTCTGTGTTTACAATACAGTCAACTTCTTATCAATAATTTTAGTGCTCATTTGGGTTTCATCATAATGAGATTATAATGAAGAGGAGTAATGGATCACACTAAATGTGTTCGTGGATAATAAGTGGGTAGTAGTTGTGAAAGCGTGGTTAAAATTAATGCTCGATCATAGACAGTGCACAAGAGAAACCAAGTTCACCAATTACGGTTACTCTACATTCAAAAACATATCTAATAGCAATCATCTCGTGCATCCCATATGGTCTTACACTGATTTGACAAAGAACTCCAACAACAATAAACTGCACCCCACCATACCACTTCAACATTCATCAAAGCACAGCCTATAAACAAATTAAAGAAGTGATTTGAAACCTCAATTTCACATTTCAATTGATTCATTTGTACTTCAAGAGTCTATCTAAAACCATCACATACACATAATAAAAGCACTTCAGTATTTATCAGTTTTGAACACCGGACTAGCCATCGACCCGGTAAAGCTAAAGGGACAAGGATCAAATAGTCGAATCGAGGCTGAACCAAGGTCGACTCAGAAACGAAAATTATTAAATAATTAATTTATGTATAGATTTATAAATATAATTAAAATAATATTCTAAAATCCATGAGATAAACAATACTATTTAATATTTATCAAGACATCTAAAATTAAGTGAGAACTAATGGGCCAAAAACTACTACAACAATACACGATCCACTTATTCAAATCCTACCATTTTCATTTTAACCTAGGCCTGCATTAGTTTCAGATCTAAATGTGCAGTTACCTTCCTATTCCCAAAGGCAACTCATTTTCTGTCTCACGCATACAAATACTTGTAGAATCTATACGTTTTCATTTCTTTGTAAGATTAGTTTGGATTTTGGATATTTTGACTAAAAAGTAGTACAAAGGCTTCGAAAATGGAGACGGTAGGCATTGGTGGCTATTGGACGACCAGATAAATGTTGGCAAAGCTTTGTTCTATATTTCACCCACTCTTTTTTTCTTTTTTTGGACAAAAATCAACAGTTGAACCCGCGAAAGCCATAACCTGTTCACCGGTTTCAGTTGAACCAGACAGTTTACTGAATTTAGTGCCGGTTTCTTTTCATTCCGTTTTTACCCTATGACCGGTATGGATTTCAGCCCGGTGCCCAGTTTTCCCATTGGACCCGCTCGGTTCGGTTTTCAGAATACTTGTATTTTCTGCATTTTATAAATATTGTAAATTATTATCTTTACTCAATGATAACCCCCAGTATAACTTGTGCTAAACATAACATGAAGAGCAATATCTACTACCATTCACATAAAAGGAGCAACTGAGCAAGTAATGCACTTTGAATAGGGTTATTCTTAGCTTTTAGCCCTTACCAATTTAAATCTTCAAACCTATATACGTAAAACAATCTCAGACAATTATATCATTGTTGGAAATCCTTAACCATCTATTTAATGTTTATAATTTGTCCAATTGTCTCCACAGTACATTCCTTTATGTCCTATTCTCTTCAAAGCAAACTGTTTGCACAATATGACAACTATTAAGTAATTATTATGGTTATTACTAAATGTCTACTTATCATAATTCAGACTGTCCACAAGCCTCACTAACATTTGAACCCATTGTAGTCAAGTTAAAAATTTGGCACAGGTGCAAACTCTTTATCTTTGCTATCTACGAAGTAGCCATATCTTACAGCAGCCAAAATCAGAACTTGCCAACCTAGAACTACATTTTTTCTCCGAAGACTAAATAATTTTAATGGTCAAGACGACCTCTCTATTAAGCAATCTCAAACGTTCTTCTTCCACTGAGGTCACATATTGTTTCAGGATTCAAAAACATCTATCTTGAGTTCTCAAAGTAGCGCAATATAGCTGCATAAGTCAACATCTGCAAATGAAATTTCGCCCAAACAGCTCTATTAATGCACAATTACGTGAATGCTTACTTGGCCGAGCCTTAATCAGAGATAACTAAAGTACTATTTTAGAAGGGCTCATAATTTATTGACTTCAATCTATGGTAAATATCAATTCAGTAAACAGCAATATTACCATATATACTTGAAGTTTATAAACAAGATTTACCTTTAGAGGAAGGTCGAAAAAGAACATTCCAAATCTCCCACTAATCTGGGAAGTCATATCGAACGGGATCGCACCCTTTGCCAAGTCCTCCAGCAACAGAATCACGTCGCTCAATATCTCAACTCCGTCGAGAACTAGCGTGGCGTTGATATACGACGTTCCACGGACCTTGATGTCGCCACCATTGGACATAACAGACCCCAGTCGCTTCCCTCTGTAGCCAATGGCGACAAGTAAGGAATCATAGTCAATGGAGTAGAAGTCTTTGTTCCGTACCTTGATGGTGAGGTCTAGGGTAATGTCGAGGGATATTTTAGGGCTGGTATGAAAGTGGAGACGATCAAGGCGGAGGCGGGTGATAGAGAGGTCGGGATCGGAGGGCCAGAGAAGGTAGGCGGCGGCGACGAGGAAGGGCAATAAAGTGGCAAAGCATATTAGGCTGCGGCGGCAGGATTTACTGAGAACACGGTGGGTGTGCGGTGGTTGGTAGGTCAATACGACAACATATGGTGGTTCTTGGTGTTGGGAGTCGGAAAGGAGGGGCTGCGTGCCTGAATGCTTTGTTGAATGCATTTTTTGGTTGGTAACGATTGGAGGGGACTTCTCTCCCGGAGATTTAGGAAGGAGAGGTGGGTCCAGTTTCTTCTCTGCAATTTTGTCAAGTTTCAGCTAAAACTGCCATTTATAACTTGAAAAATTGAAATCGCATTAAAAGACGAAATTGAGGTGGACGATCTTGCTTGGGAAGCTAGATTTTAATTTTGATTGCAGCCACCAATGGCAGGTTCTGATTAGCTGAGTGTCCTATCCCGCGTTGAATTTTATTTTCTTTACTTTTTTTTATTGAATTATTGATTTAATCAAATCATTCTTTGAGGAAAATAATCAATCATGGTTTTTCTTTTTGTCACTAGTTAGCCCCTATTTGTCTACCATTATTCAAAAAAATTGTTTGCTACAGTAAGATTCTCTACCACACATTCTTCCAATAAAATATTCTACACACAAACCAATAGAGTTATTTTAAATTTCAACTACACATTCTCCAAAAAATACTATTCATTACTCTATTTTTCTCTCAATAATGAGAGTCAAAAAGGTTTCTCAGTAGTTGTATGTTTGAAAGTTCAAGAAAAAATTGCATTTTACAATTGAACTAAATAATAGAATACTACACGTTAAACCCTGTTTAGTGCATATTAAAAGATTTTTAGTATGTCCTAATAAAACTTAATGAAATGTGTAGTTAAAAAGTTGTGAGTTCCATGAAATAATTGGTTAAAATTAATTGTTGACTTTGATTTAAAGTAAAATTTAGATTTTGATCCTAACCAAACAGAGGTTAAATAATATTTATAAATAAATTTACTTTATTTAACAATAACAAAGATCATGAAGGGGAACTTGGAATCTCTCAAGACGAGCGTAAGTGGACGGCACTTGAGATTGTACTAGGAAAGGTGGGATAGGAGCGGAAGCCTTGCTATCCATGCCCATTACACGCACAGACTTTTGTAACTTTTCGTTTTCTTCTGTTTGTCATCATAAATATGTTAAAAACAATGAACCTATTGTGAAGTCGGTAAATTTTACCAAGCTAATTCATCAAACCACCCCTCCCGTCCGAATAGGTATGTAAAGGTGAGCCGCATCACCAGGCCTTGAGCCGAACCTGTGATCAGCGGCCGGCCCAAACCATCGTACAGCTCTACACCCGCCAACCTTTCTTGGGGGGGAGATTGATTGAACAAATCTTAGCTTATCCAACTATTCTCCTCACCATCTGCAGCACAAGTAAAAATTGGCAGAAACTGGAAATTTACAGCCACTGGAATGAATTGGCAAAGTAAAGCACAAAACAAAACAATATATTTTCTTGTTCAAGATGATATGTATACTAATGAAATACCATCTGAAGCCCCCTCGATAGTCATATAAAACACATCTTACATAAAAATGTATTAACTCACAAGCTACATAAAAACAAATCACTTCAAAATGTAAGTTATTTGCTATCTGTGCGAGGAACATACATATGTGCGTGTGTATATATATAATTTCACACAAAAGTACAACAAAGTGGAATTTATTTCAGAAGCGTGAAACAAAAATTTACCAAACAGCACAGAATTATATAAATTGTCTCTTCATCAACCCTGACTTCTGTTTTGGGAACGTGTGATGGACCTCAAGTTGTCATACATATCCGAACAAGCAAGAGAAAAATCTGACAGTGCTTGGAAAAGTCCTGGTAAATTGCTTTTCAAACTCATCAAAGACTTCTCCCTAACCTGAATGCATTGCCTTTGGTATGCTTCCTCATCGCTTTTCAATTTCAGTTTTGCTGCTTCAACAGGTTGCTGCCTTTCAGCAACAAAATCCTTATCAGGTTCCCTGTCTGCATCCATTTCATCAGGTGGGGTTCTCCTCTGCATATATTTGTTATACCAAGTATCGAATTCTCGGGTCCTTTTCATAAGCTCCTTACTAGACTCTGCACATTTGTTTCTTAAATCCAACTCATCTTTCTGATACTGCCATATAGTCTGAATCACAGCAGCAAAGTTATTGATAGTGGCTTTTGTCGGCTCATCAGGAATCTTCTCGAGGTACTCATTCCAGGAATGCAAAAGTGTCAGTATCGGGGGATTTTGGGTCCCACGGGGAGATGAAACCTTCTCCTTCAAGTTTGTATCTATTGGAATGAGATTTAACTTCAACCAGTTTTTGAGAGCTTTAATATATTCTTTCTGTTGAGACATGAATTCACTGAAATGTGAATGCCACTCCTGAACAACACCACATAACTGTCGAGTGCGCTCATGGTGGCGGTCACTTGTTTCTTTGGGAGATTGAGAAATATCCAAAGGCCTCAAAGCTTGCACAATCTTAGATTGTTTTTCATGGTACATTTTCATTGTCTCCCACATTATAGCCATACTGTAATCGATTACAAACAGCTTAGTATAGTTTTCAAGGTTAATATGGATAGGAAACAGAACAAGACTTTACAGGAATGCGTAGGCAAAAAGCTATACAAAAATTGTAATTTTCTATATAAAAAAAAAAATTATTTCAACATGGCACAAGAGAAGGAAAAAGAAAAGCTACAATGTTTGGGTAATTCAAATGCTGATTTCAATGCACAACCATGAAAGTCTACAGTCTAAAGCAATTAGAGGAGGTGATCCTCGCAGGCTTTAACCAATACCAATGTTGGACCAGTATACCATCTATCTAAAAGATTAAACAATTAGAGAGAAGACAAAAATAATTATCAAAACTAGTATTACATGCATTGCACGAGATGTTAATACGGTGTCATAAGATTTGTTTTATTCAAATATATAAACAGATATTCCTGTGTGCTATGTATGCTATTTTATATCTATTCCTTCAGTTTTCCTCAAAAATCCTAAAGCAGTCAATTGTACTCCACAATATCCAATGACGAACACCATTCAAATTGGAGTGGAGGAAGAATATATATTTTGAAACGCTGTTTACTTTCCAAAATTTCATAAATCTAAAATATAGTTCTAAAAAATCAAGTCATGACAAAACATACGAGTTTATTATGGAGAAATAATATGGAATAAAATATTAAATACAAAATTTTCTGACTATTAAGGACCAATGGGTAAAAGATGGTAGCACCAGGTAAAGAAAGTGAACAAATACATTAATTTGTAACATAAAATATAGTAAACAAATACATCAAATTGGCATGGTAAGCTCGAATTTGAAATTAGGCTACTTCATAATAGATTGTTAAGCAATTGATATACCAACCTCACCCATAATTTTTTTCTACACAAGTGTTGCACAAATTACAAAGTTATAAGAATTTACAGAAGATTAAAGAACAGAAAGAATTCTAACAAAATTTAAAGTGAAAATACTTGAACCAAAATTCAAATGAGAACAATTGGACAACATAATAATTGGGAAAAAAAGGGGAAAAAAATCCCAAAATATTTCCATCTTCTCAATTATTTGGTCGAGTAAATTTTTATTTTATTTTTAGATGAGGGATTGATGTCAACTATTCATCAACAAAAACACGTAAGTTTTTTATTGGCCTGAATCTCAAGTAAACGAACAAACAAAAAACAGCACACGAAATCTAGTGATACAATAACAAGCATCCAAGCATTAATAATTGTAATCAATATTTTTATATGATATATTTTACTTTACATAGCTTCAATAAAAATTCAGCAGTAGAAACCTATATACCAAAGCGATAAATCAAAACACAAGCATATCGAAATAAAATGAAAGAATAACCAAAGAAAAAAGAACCATGCGAGTCATTTCAATCAGCTCATTTAGAGTCAAAACAATCAATAAAAACTGAATCTGAGAATTTTCAGATAAATAATCAATTAAATACCAACATGAATCCAGATATTTTTAAAAATGAAGAAATTAAAATGACTAAAGCAGTAAGGGAGGGATAGAGACAAACAGATATTCTTAAATATTTAAATTGTATCCATCTTCTAATGTTGAGGTAAGTACTAATTGTATTTACGAATGCATGCTTCATATTATTTTCCAATGATCTTTTACATATCCATTCACACACGCATTACAATTTACCACTAAAATTCAAATGCTCAATGGGAACTAAGAGAAATGAAATTCCAAAATAATAGATTGGCTCCAGTTTTCTAATACCCTCCAAGCCACGTGAATTCAAGAGCAATAATTCGAAAAAACATACCAAAAAAATCCACCCAACATTCATTTACTTTGCATAATCCTGGATTGATTCCAATATAAAAGGAATATACATGCATTCAAGATCAGAAAAATGTGAATACATGTGTGTGAAGTCATATACAGCCTGTAGAAAACATATAGTTAAAGTAATCTACATCACTCTTCTTGTTCAGTGTTGCCACTGCTTGTATTCAAATATTTTTTTTTTCACTTATTTGAATTTATTATGTTAAATAAATCTATGGATTGGAATGGATTAGAAGATTAGTGGGTTAACTGAGGTTTCTTCTTTTAGTGGATTAATTAAGGCAATTTTATGTTAGTGGATTAAATTACAAGACTTTCCATATTCCAAAAAAATGTTTTTAGTGGGTTAAAAAAATTCATCTCCTTCCCTTCTTTATGGACTATACTTATTATAAAGTTAATGGATCAAAAATACTCTATTATTAATGTTAAACAAGGGTGAATCTGGAGGTTTACAATTTTTTGTAAGAATATCATTGTCCAAAAACGTTTTCTTATTCTACACTGTTTATATATGTTACAGATAGAGATTATATCTTCAAAGCTCCCTTCTTCATATGCATCCTAGGCTAACAAGAGCATAGTTTTTATGTGCTATGTTACCATGTCAAGCCATCTCATCTAAAAGTTCAAGTTAATTTAGAGAGGATAAACATATTTATTTAAATTATATCCTCAACCAGAACAATGAAGTAAAATGCAAAACTTGTGTAGAGAACTTTGCAGTAACAGGAGAAAATCAAACTTGAAATTCTTTCAAAATTGGGATTAGAATAAGTGGAAGATACATAGGATAGGTGATCTTTGTAGTAGTAAAAACAATGAAACCTAGAAGTTCATGCACATGAAGATAAGCAAGAGAATTCGTGGTATCATATTAGAATACTTAAGAAGTAACGTGTTTAATGGAGAGGTCATGATATATGCCACATTAACTATTTTGCTCATAATGAATGCTAATAGAAGCAAGCTACGGATCCTCAACAACGACTAGACATCAGAATTTTTTCTAGCAGCATAAGAACTTACGCATCAACAAGGACGACAAGTTTTGGATACAATTGATCATCACGCAAACTATTAATTTCTGAAACAGTAGAGTCCATGGATTGCATGTCAACAATGTATCTGGTATGCAAATGACTAACGGCTGCTTTCATCCTCTCTAAGGCGTCTGTATTTGAGCCATGTTTCTTCAACTTATTCAATGAAGCAACCTTTTTCTGATATTCAAGTTTCATTTGCTCACCTGCCTGTAGCATCAAAAACAAACCAAAATTGTCGTCTTTGATCATTACTAATAAAATGAAAATTGAACATTGTCACATGCAGCAGGATATTTCTGGTATGTGATCACTGAACATATTGTGTGCTACATCAAGATACATACATCATACATGAAGGCCATGGAGATGAATCAAGCAGTCATAAAAGAGTGAAATCATACTTGATGTCCATGGAGATGAATCAAGCAGTCATAAACGAGTGAAGGCCACAGATATAAATCACGCAGTCATAACGTATAATGAAGAATTTTATTTTGACACGACTCAATTAAGTACCAAAGAAAAAAAAAGGAAATTGATTGGAACTACTTTCTTATTCCTGTATCAGCAGTGAATGTCTAAATCTGACATTTTTTCTGCAACAATAGAATCAGGAAACATCATATCAAATTCAAGCAAATTACAGGCTAAAATCTAATTATTTTTGTAGCGAAATCCTAAGTAGCACCGACACGGACACGAGTGTCCGACATGATACGTGTTCGACACGCCGACACGCGATTTTTGAAAAAGTTCCGACACGCCAACATGCGATCGACACGTTATTAAAATATTATTTTTAACTTATTTTAATTTAATAGTTTAAAGTAATAATTTTGTATATTTATTGCATCATGCCATCATATATATAAGTAAGTTTGATTTTTTAATGGAGGGTGAAATGGTAAAAAAAATAATTTATATAAAATTTTACACGTTTTGATAAAGAATAAAGTTGGGAAAAAAAAAATTAAATATACGTTATATAAGAAATTTTACAAAATACTTATTGGGCCCAACAATGAAAAGTAATTGATACGCAACCACAACTTTTCATTTTCAGTCAAACATGTCTTTTCACTTTCTCCTTTCTCCTTCTTCTTCGGTTTTTTCTTCACAGCATCTGTTCTTCTTTCTTCTTCCTCAGCTTTCTTTGTCAGTCTTGTCACTCTCTTTTCTTCTTCTTCTTCGGTTTCTTCTTCACAGGTTTCTGCTCTCTTCTTCCTTCTTCACAGGTTCTTTTCTTCTTTCTTCTTCCCCAGCCTTCTTTGTCACAGTCACCGTCTTCTTTCAACCAAATGCATTTCTTCATCTCCGACACGCCGCAAGGAACTTCAACATGCGTCGGCGACGTGTCGAAGACGTACCGGTGTCCAATACGTGTCGGACACCGACACTGGCAACGTGTCTGTGCTTCTGAGGCGAAATCTATTCCAATTCTTGAAAGTTTGATGGTTGAGTAACTGTAATATGTGCTGTCCCCTCCTTTGAAGATGAAATCTCCACAAATTTTTAATTGGTTTTCAACTATTCATCATAATCCCTTCTGAAATGATAAATTTTGACCTGATATGAACATCTATACCTCCCTCTTTTGATTTTGATTACATTATATTTTAATAGTTTTGATTAACTAGCCCTCCCTCCTTGTACTATTTTTCTTTTGTTATTCATAAAAAGACCACCTAGTGTGATCAATATATTCAAAATAAGGCCGCTATTTAGTAGTTCATTTTGATTACACTATATTTTAATAGTTTTCATTAATTTAGTAGTTCATTTAGATTTAATTGTTTTTTTAATTTATTTGAAATACCATCTAAACCTAAGTATGATTTTCACGTCTCCACCTAGACCTAGTAGCAGGATTTGGCCATACCCCTACAATGATATTTTTACAATTATCTTTTAAATTTAAGTTCTTTATCCTATAAAAAGGAACCCAGGATTTCATTTGTATTCATACTATTAGTAACTATTGATAATAAATACAGATTACATCCTCCTAAATTATTCTTCTCTTCTCTCCTCTCCTCTCCTCTCCTCTCCTCTTTAATTCTCATTTTATGTGAGTTTTGTATCAATTTGATATCAGAGCTAACTAAGACAGTCACACAATTATATTCTGACACAGTGTCAAATTCAATACTTCACATGTTGCTGATTTCTGGTTGTGCACACACTCACTGGAGTATTTGGTTGAGTTTTGAAGCAGTGAACCTAGAGTACCAGTACCTAAAGGCCAATTTATAGCAGAAACTCCATTGAAAGCACCAAATTTAGATTTTGATGCTTGGTAGAATACTAGACAAAAGTTAGAGCCGTTAAACAAAGTAGTCCGCGACATCCAAAATTAAAACACAATGTAAGCAAAATTTATGAGTTCAACCACCATACTAAGCACAGTGGCACACAATAAAAAAGAATAAGATAAAAGCTAAAAGATATTCCATTTTTAATGAACAAGTATAACTTTGTTTATCAAAATAACAAGAGAGGAATAATAAAGAAACAAAGTCTAAAGATTTGACATGTTGAACAGAAATATTAATGTGCATACCTTAACTTCATCATAAAGCTTTTTCTCCCATGCCAGCATCTTGTCCAACACCGTTGCATGAGTCTCATGCTCTTCTGAATCAAAGTCATCAACTCCATCATCTGCGTTGGGTAAACCTTTGAAAGACCTATTCCATGTGATGACCCTCATGACCCTTGTAGAATGATCAATGTGTCCTACACAAAGAAAAAGTTAGTATTTATGCATCCACATGAATAATCCACTGCTCATCTGGACTTTAAGACTATATCGTTGTTCGACTCCACACCAGCCATACAGACCTTGAATCTAATAAAGCTATTTACCTTATAGTTTTAACGAGTACACGGCTACACCAAATGTAGCAGAGGCTTTTTTTATTTCCCCTCAGCAAAGCAAGTTGTTATTTTTCATGTGACCTTTTTCATATGCATCAAATAGTGAAAATATCATTCAACCACTGATAGGAAAGTCACACTAACATTCTTGCCAATCCAAACTAGAATTTAGTTATCAGTGTATTCTACATTTGTTGTACAACTACAATGAGTAAGGTGAAAGAACTACCCAAGATAAAGTATTACTTATTTGATCCGTAAACTATTCAATATTCATACTGACTAAGCATTACTGTTTTAACTTTATTCTGAGACCATTACTAAGCCATTCCAACCACATTAAACACCACTTATATATTATTATTATTATACCTCTTTTATCAGCAAAATTAGAGTGATAATGCAAGCGGTTCGCCTCAAGCAACCTGGATACGTCATGAGCACTCTCGCAAGCCTTGAGAAAACAATCATCAAGATCCACAAATATTTGCAACAAATTTGTATTGCTCGGTCCACCTTTCATTTTCCCTTCAGACGAAGCCCCCATTTTCACTCTCTTGACCAGCTTTGTTGCCACTGCTGCTTGTGCCAGAGAAGGCTGTGGTGGAAGTTCCACTGTGCCTTCCACCACTTCAGTGGCTGCCTCCACGTGCTCAACCTTCTTCCCTCCATCAACTTCACCATCCATTTCACTTTTCTTAGCCCTTTCTTCCCGCATTTTCCGCTGAATTTTCTCTATATTGTACTGATCATCCTCCACATCAGCCAGTGTCGATACCGGCACTTCTGGTGAGAAGAAATAATCCCACGACGAATCTTTATTCACCGGAGGAGGAGGAGGGACCGGGTGCTCACGCTCTCGTTCATTTGGAAGCATCGGCGAAGGCGGCTTCTGCAAGACCTCGTCCTCAGTAACCTCCTTATGTGAAAGTCCACCTCTTCCGCCCCCACTACCTCGTCCGCTACTCTTACTGCTGCGATGCTTCAAACTGTGAGTGCTCTCATTGTCAATATCCTCTTCATTCTCCTCCTGAATAATCGTGTTCGAGTGCTTCAATTCAGGGCGGAGTTCAGGAACGGTAGACGCCCGCTGGAGCTGCGAAGAAGTCGGATTGAACGAAGGGGGTAGTGGAGGAGGAGGCAGAGGAAAATTATCATAAGGCGGAAGTGGTGGCTGAAGGGTGGCATCACCAGCACCTCCGCCGGCGGCGGCGGCGGCGGCGGCGGGATATACGACTTCTCCCTGAGCATAGTCACTGAGAGCGGCACCGGTGTTCTTCAAGGACATCGCGTGGGCCGAGTGGGCCGCCGCGAACTTGTTACGGGCCGCAACGGCCCGCTCCATATATTGCTTCCGCTCCTTGCATCGATTTACAGTTTCCTCGTTCTCGATCTTAGATTGAGTGCAGCCCATTAATCCCGCACCTAGAAATCTACCAGAAATTACACCAAACACACACAGTGATTGCAATTAGAGAATTGGGAGAATGGGATTTTAGATCCGAATTCCAATTTCAATCGCTTAGCGAAGAGGACAAATTGCTTTATTGCTTTTTTCCTGTTTTGGGAGAATAACAATTACAAGTAGTGAAGGTGAAGCTTTGCTTGCGAGATCAGACCACGCTGTCGTTTCACTACACTAAAACGGCAAACGACATCGTCTATTATTTACTGTTGTAAAAAGGAGCCATCTTTACAAGCAAGATGACAAGCGAAGGAGAAAGCAATTAGGCGTAGCTTCGGTTTGTAAAGTAACGAAATAAAATTTAAAATAATGAATTTTTGTAAAATGTTTGATTGGAAAGTGAAAAAGAATTTAAAATTTACATATAAAATATTGTATTACAAAAATGTGTAATAAAAAAAAAATTGAAATAACGATAGATGACATGGCTTACTAGTGTGCCATTGTCCACCTTGTGAACAAATCGTTATTCATTTTCGGTTGTACTACGTGTACATCATCACTTATATATGTATGTGTGTGTGTGTGTATATATATATATATATCGGAAGTTACTTAACTTGCAAATCTATTTCAAGTTTATCACCAAATTTTAATAAGTAAATTTGACGATTCTTATTACTCTCATAGAATATGTGAGAAAAATCTTACTTTTAGCAATGCGATTTATTTAAATGTTGAAAAATACAATTTTTATGTCTAGGTTTTAAAAGAAGTGATTATAGTGGTGAATTATATGTATACATATCTTGAATTTATTTTGTTAATCAGGTCACGGTTTTGTTAGTTTTGACCATGGTTGTGGTCGTAATATTCAGAATAAAATATTTATTTGTCTAGAAAACTTAGTGAACAATGGGAAATTCCGCTAAAATTAAGTGACTACCGGCATTTTTTGCCCATTATTAGGGTTGGAGGAAATGAAACTTATGATACTACTTGTTGTCGAAATAATTCATATAAATAATTAGCAATGAAGACGAATGTTGAAATCCCTAGTAGATAGAGAAATATTTTTTGTTATCGAAGAGTATAAATTTCAATATATTATCTGGTTTTATTTTTTACCAATGAAATCTTATTATAATCAAAAGAAAATA